ATTAATGAAGCGTCACTACTAATGAAGATGTCGTCGCCGAAGAAGACATCGCCGTGGAAGAAGGCGTCGTCATCCGTATCTGGCACACCATAATGAACTCGATAAACTGGTGTGATAAACTATTGAACAGATTGATTCTGGCAATTCAAAAATCTAAGACACGTTAGAATATCGTGCAAACTGTTCGTTTAAGTGCGGGTGCATCGTGCAAAGTCTCGAGTGCCAAATTGGGGGAGTATCGTGCAATGTATCGCGCGTTCAACTGCGAGGGTGTCGCACGTCGAAGTTTGATGCATCATCGCTTAATATCCCAATTTTGTAATTGTCAACGAGAATATCGTACCGCCGATGCCGACTAAGTGGGATGTCTCATTGAGACACGTTGCGTATGCAACGTTCTCATGCCTCTTGTGTCGCGGCACGAGGTGATGTCGGCCGCGTACGTATGTTCATGTACGTATGTACATGGATTGTGCGGTTTTGAGCTTAGGCTCAAATATCGGCTGATTGAGGTCACGCTCTGCTTCGACAAATGGTTCGACTCGGATCGGTTGGAGGAGGCTCGATCGTCTTGGAATCGTCGCTAATGAGTCCCTTCTCTTTTACCGTCAGCAATACATATATCGCATTGAGAGTTGACTGGATTAATTAGGCACGATTTTCGCTCGCTAGAGAGGTTGACCTCCCATTTTTTAAGTTGTATATGTTGTTGGCACTTAATAAATGGGGATCTTCATTCTCGAAGCGTCTGCCCTGCCTTTTGATATCGCCTGTGGTATAGCACCCTTGTGTCTCAACTGAAATCGTACCTAATCAAATTCAAATCAACCTGAGATGCGAACATGCGCGGACAAGAGTCGAGTGAACCTTATTATCGTAGATCTCATACGATCGAATCAATCTTCTTCCGTTTTGGGCTTAACCCTTGCTCGAAGGTAACGTTGAATTCCCGAGTTGTCGGCTCGTCGTATGATTCTCGTGCAAAATGGGATATTTCGCGATCACGAAATTTGGAAATGCCGAGTAAAGTTCGCGCGTTTTAGTGCGGGAGTGTCGTTCAAAATATCGCACGTGTAAATCAACGGACTCTGACAACGGACAATCCTGATCAACCTGAGAGGAGGAGGAGGTCTGGGAGAGGCATCGGGCGCCATCGGAGCAATCCTGGGGTGAGAATTCTTTATTTGTTCATTAGTTGTATTAAATCAGAAAATTTTGAGTTGTATCAAATAGAAAAAGAATTATAGAATTGTATAATTTTATATTTGTTGTATGCTATGCGCATGTATCAAAAATAAAATTCTCAATGCGTACAATAATCACAATTCTTGGAAATATTTATTATTTTAGACACGCTACTATAAGTTGGATCTCATTTATATCTTGCAGATTAATCTAGAGAGAGCTAACGATCTAGACAACCTGAGAGGAGGAGAAGGTCTGGGAGAGGCATCGGGCACCAGCGGAGCAACCCAGGGGTGAGCATTTATTATTTAATAATTAATTGCTTTGAATCAAAATTTATAAAATTATTTAAACACATTTCTGTTTATTATCGTACGTTTGAAATATAAAGTCAAAGGGTACAATAATAATTTTACAACAATTTTATAATTATTGCGAGCGTCGCTATAATTTCGATTATTGATTATGTATTGTATTTGTTTGTTATAGATCTACGAGGCTTCGATGCAGTCAACTCCGCTGCTGCATATCGGGTGGTGATATATATATATATACGTAGATTTAAACGAATTTATTTTATAAACACACTAATGATTATTAATTGCGTATGTGATTATAAATTCTTTCACTGATTATATAATCATTAATAATTTAATTTTATATAGATACATTTAATTCTAATTTTTTGTAATCCGATTCATACAGATTAATAACTTGGCTCTATACTAGAGCGATATATTCTAAAATGACGTGTATATGCCAAAAAATGTTTTGCGGGTATTTTACCACGATTGAAAGAAGAAAAAAAGTGATTTAAAATTTGCAGAGTAATTTACGGTAATATGTTAGATTTTCTATAGTGCAAATAATACGCGTCAGATTATAATCTGTTTTTTATTTTTGACACGGTTACATTGTCTCGTATTTCGGCGAAAATAGCGCAACAAGTCACATTAATTCTAAGTAAGTTGCGGATTAACGACACACGAGGATTGATACTGCAGAGATATCAAGTTCTCGCGTAACATTGCGCACGTTGTTTTTACGAAGCTTGGGACCATCATAATATTAAAGTATACTTGAACCATCTTTTACACTATGTAAAAGAATCTTTTGTAATAAAATATTTTTATGGAAAGTATGTAAGAGCAAACCTTAGATTCTGTTACATGCTGGAATGAATCGGTAAGCCATTTTCATCGAAGCCGGTTTGCTTCTTGAAAACCCATGTACCTTCTATTTCATTCGTTTTGCTTGTAGAGTGTTGTTTCGAATTTCGCATTTTTCGCCAAATGTCTGACTGTGCATAAACAAGCCGCGCCAGCACCGATCACACCTTGATTTTTTTTCTTGATTCGCCATTTGTACGTTTTACTTACTCTTCTAAAATGATGATTAATGAAAAATCTTGATCAGTTGTTTCTTTATGTTTCAAATGAAAGATTTGACAGATATTTGAGTTATTATTTAAAGATTTGAAGGCATGAACTAATATCAAAAAATATAAGAATGATTTTGATTTGACACACTTTAACTGCACGATTCATCGGTTATACAGCGCACTTTTAGCGAATAAACGACACTGACAATAAGAATCCATATGTACGATATGCGATACAATTATATAATATATTAAAAAAATTGGTCGTCTATAGGTAAAACAGAGAGAATGAGAATATTAAAATATTCTTGTTCAATTAAAAAATAAAATATATCAAAATTTTTTACTTAAATTTGTACATTGTACTGATGATTAATTATGTTAAAAATAGCAAAGATTCATAATAAACTACGTCTTTTTATATAACGCTTTTATCTTTTTTATATAATTTACAAGAATTTGCACAAAACGGAAAACGGAAAACGAAAAACCACAAAAGATAGAGAAAACATCATCGCGGCTACTCTTCAGATTTCTAATGATATATTATTCGCTTATTGCAATTCGATAACGCGGTAGATAGGTAATCGTTCAAATATCATATGATTGTTATGTTATTCTTTTTTACGAAAAGAATTTATAATCGCACCACATGCTCGCGAGGTCAAACATATATGTTATAATTGCTGTAGATAAATTAGCAAATATATTTTTAGAAGTTTTGCTGCTGAATAACCTAGCTTCAAAAGAATCGATTTCATCGTTTTTTGTGTGTTTGTCGTTTTGCTTATTATTTGTATTATGATCCGCATTTTTCTTTTTTTGTATTGATTCTCAGTAAGAATCTGAGAAGTGGTAATTGCAAATTCATTGCTCTGATTTTGCTCGATGCTTCCGGAATATTCTTCTGTTGAGACACGTTGTGTAATCATTCGTTGCATTGTCATTTCTATTTCTTTGCTCTCCTTTTTTTTTTTATTGTTCTTTTGGTATGTTTTTCACTGCTATTACTGCTTGAGTCTTTATTACTGTGTCTATTTCTTTTCGTTTCTTTATTGTTTTGATCATGTATTGTTTTGTTTATTATTTGCATTATAATCCGGATTTTTCTGTGCTTTACGTTCTTTACTATTTATTTATTTATTTTATTCGAGCTATTATCTGTTGCGTTCTTTTTTGTCGTTCTAGATGGTATACTTGAAGGAGTCCCTGAAATTTTAAAATAATCTCTGTTTATTATTTATTTTTTTGCTAGTGTTTTATTTGCAATTACAACTTTGATTATTTATTTTCATGTAATTTTATCTATAATTATATGAATTTTCTATTTATTTTTATTTAAAAAGTTGTTTAATATAGTATTTCTTCTCAATTTCATATATATTTTCAGCAAACAGAAATTTTAAATGTCTTGATCTTATTCTAATGATCTTTTATAATAATGTTTATAGTACGAATAAGATAATATTATAAGAACTTTTATAGTACAAATTTTCTGGAACAGAAGTATCTGTAATAATTCTATTTGTTCTTAAATTGTGGTTCTTGTTGCGCATGTAAAATAAAACAAATTTTCTTAAATAAATTTTTTAAATAATTTTTTCCTTATTTTTACATATAATGTGTAGAAGATGTTTATAATAAATTGCTTTCACTTTTTTTTTTATTTTTGCGACAAAAGTATCAAGCATTTAAAGCAATTTCAAATTATGTTTTCAATTTATATAACTTTTTATTATCAATAAATTTGTTATTAATTATATTTTTTAATTTTTTAATTTATAAATTTAATTGGATGCACTAGTGTGCATCGATGCTTATTAAAAGCTATTATATACAAGAAGAAGATAGAGAAAGAATGGAGATAATTATTTTATATTTAGTTAAAATTAATATAAACTCTCATTGTTAAAATACTGAATATTAAACTCAGAAACTAATAACTCTGATTCTCCTTTAATAAAATCTGTAGAACTACAATTTAATTCAGCTAAAACCTTAAATTTATCGTGTACCGCGCGTTTGTAGTGTTCTAGTAAATAATGTATAATACACAAATTGTTTTTATAAATCTCTAGATATATATAGCATATTTATGTCTTGCAGATTTTTCATAATGTATATTTATGCGAAAAAGTCAATTAATATAAAACACGTCGAACATAAAATATCTCTCCATAATATCTCTCTTTTACATTATATAATTATAGATATATATTAATTGTTGCTCGATTATATATGCATATACATTAATTATTTTGTTGCATCTAACGTACATAAGTGCAAATTTATTTGGCTACTTTTAAGCAATAAGTAAATCAAAAAATGACTAAAGCATATTTTCAAAATACAGATTATTTATTTATTAATGTTTGAATTTCATACACATAATATCATAAAATTTAAAGTAGTTTAAGCAATACTTTATTGTATAATATAAACTTTCAAACATAAGAAAATGTAATAGAATTTATAATTCGTCTCTTATAAATATAAAGTCTGGTGCTCGCACGGATGCAATAAATTCCATTTTTCCGTTTATTTCAATTATATATATAAACGGACGATCTACGATCAACTCCTGCGGCTGATCTACCGATTTTCTTTCTCTCCTTTTAACAACTGTAAAGATGTTTTTATTGTAATGCTTACAGTATTTATTTAAGATCTTCAATTATTTACAGATATGTATAGGTTACCTTCTGAAGTTTCCGACATTTCATTGCGAATCTTCACGGAAACCTTTTCAACGATATTGCTCACTTTTAAAGGAATTTTTGAGAGACGTGTAAAATCCGCCTTATCTTCAAACATCGTAATTATGTTTTTCTACAAGCAGTTATTAGTTTTAATTTGTAATAAAGAATTGATCCAAAATCTTTCTCACGTATCAGTTGTAAACAGATCTTGCTTATTACAATACTTACCCGACGAAAAAAATTTGTCTTATTTTGAATAGATTTAATCGTAAACTTTGGTAAATATAATTCTATATCTTGCTCAAGTTTGTTTGTATATGCCGTTCTAACTGATTGAAATGCTTTAAAGTTAAATTTTTCTATCAGGTAGTCCAGGTCCCCAATTTCCATCTCTTCATTTGGCAAAAATATAATCATTGTGATTTTGTCATTCTGTAAAATTATATTTCGATTCAATATTTAATTTTTGATATCTTGTAAGGTTATTTTTTAATTCAATATTTTATTTTTGAAAGTTCTCTTATAAATAATAATTATTTACCAAAGATGGAATTTCAATGAACTTGCATTTCCAATGTGGTATTTCACCATAACTAAACATCGATTTTTCAAATTTAATTATTGGAACAAAATACATTTTTAATGGAGAAATATGAAATATGCGTTCCACTGTTTCTGCTTTTGGCAAGTTTAGCCATCCAATATTAAAGTACACAGTATTTACCAACATAATTTTTGTATCCACGTCAATAGTATCTGTTCATATAAAGTATTTCGTTGTTGAAAATGTACTTTGCATAAATTATAATTTACTTATATATTTAATTAAATATATTTAGTTAAATAATTTATACCATATACCTGGAGTAAGTATGTGAAATATCTCATAATTTGTTGTCTTTTTGACCCATAAATTTATAGTTTCTACAACTTGTAAGTCATTTCTAAAATCTACTTTTGAAATTGAACAATGAAGTTTATTTATGCATAGTGATGAAAAATCGGCTGTTAAATTAACTGAGTTTTGAACATATATTGCAGTTTCTACATATAATTCGTTGTCTTTGATACTCTAAAACATATATAATTTGTACTATACTTTCGTATTGTACTATATTTTGTACTATAGTATATTTTTTTAATTCTTTATCTTACGTTTAAGAAAGCAAATGCAGATAAGTATTTATCGTTTAAAGACACTTTATCAGTAATATTCAAATAAGACATCAATTCATTTTCTGTTGATCCTTCTTCAGCGCCATTTGCAAGTAAAGTCGTTATTATTTTTAGACTTATATTACTATATGCTTTGTTTTTTAATATCAATTGATTCTACGGCAAAATATAAATAAAAAATTAGGCAACTCAAAACTTAAATAAGATACAAATACATCTATTACATACTATATACGATGGTTCTTTTAGACTAGATACATCCTTTAATTCTACATATGTTACGATCGCTGTAGATAGTTTAGTAAATATATTTATATTTTTATTTATGCTGCTCAATAACTTATCTTCAAACAATGATGCATCGAAAGCACACACAATGTTAGCGACGATGATCGCAAATAATGCTGTAAGAGGAATACGTTTGTTATAAAATTAGGAAGGAGCGTTTTTTTAGAATATACTGATAATTTATGGCTAAGCTACCAAAATTTATATATATAAATTATGTATATAACTATATGTATATTATTATTATTATGACAAACATTTTTTAATAATGGGGTACTATTACCTGTACGCATTGTGACAAAATTCCAACTCTATGATATATGTATAAAAAATATATATCTCTCTATATATATATATCTATTGACTAAATTGAAGGATAAATTATTAAATTTATTATATGTGTTACATATGAATATATGAATATAGCTTCTTCTGTTCCTTTCTATATTTTTTCTATTTGCCAAGAATCAACAAGTATTTTAAATGACTAACTAAAATACTTTGATAAAGCTTCAAAATTCAGGTAAAGTTTAGAACTGGCAAATTATATGGTTCAATTTTAATCGAGAATTCTCTTCTTTTAATATCGATTAAATATTAACTGCATTGTATTAGCGCCAACTGTTTAAAAAAAATATTAAAAATAACTGCGGGGAAAGAACACATTATTTTGAAATAAAATTCCAGTTAATCTCACGTGATTTTATAAACGGTCTCACCTCGACAACATTGATTTCCAACTTTAGGAAAAATTTTCGTATAAGATCTTCAATTCTGTTGCGATCCGGAATAATACTATCGATGACAACACACTGCTTAATACTGTGTCTACCTGTGACTCTGTAACGGTCGTTAGCATTAGCAGTGTTGTCGTTTGCGATATATCGTCAGTCGTTATAGCAGTATTGAATTTTTGCGGTATCGTATAGAGGTGACTGGATGACTGGAGTTGAAAAGGGAGAAAGAGAGAAATAGAGTTGATAAACTTTTTTTTTATTCTCCTCGAAATTCACATGTACCTTAATATATAACCTTCTTAATTTAAATTTTATTTTAATAAACAGAAGTTTTATTAGTTTATTCAAATGATAAATGTTTTTAAAATTGTTTATAATCTATAAATCATATACATATAAATGTTGTAAAATAGTTTTTTGATTGCTGCATGTTTATATTTTCTTAAGATATGAATACTTTTTTTCATATAAAAGTATAAATTATTTATTTACAGTGATAGAAAATAACCAAAGAGAGCTTGTAATAAATAATTTCATATATAAAATATATAATTAAAATATCGCGATGTAGCTTTTTATACACCCATTGATACCATATGTCTTCGATGTTGGATCAAAATTTGAATAGATGAAAAATGCTTGAAAAATTTGTTAATGTAAATGTATATGTTTTGAGATAACATATTAAAAAATATAATTAAAAAATAAATACATATTAAAAAATAAATATGAATTAAAATATTATAATATTAAAAAATTTGATATGATTATTAGCAAGCATTCATGAAATGGAATTGTAAAAGACTTTATTCCGATATAATTAACTCGATGCTTAGCCCATCTTCAGAAAAAACAAATCTGAAAATTTTATAACGCGAAATATTTGCAAATGTTTGAACTGACTATACTTTATAACCGAGTTTATAAAATAATGATAATCGATTGAATCGACCAGCGATCGCCAATGAATCGTTGTAATCCCATTTTAGTAATCCAGCTTATACGCGTGTCTCTTTTTTGGTGTTTTTAAAATCTTCCAACATCACAGATTTTGTAAATAAAGTTGTTCGGTCCTTTAGTAAAACCAGGAAATATTGCATCTGAAAAAATAAAATTTGGAAAACATTTATTGCGCGTATAAGTATGTGCAATTTAATGAAATTGAACAATCACAACACAATTAATAAATCTTATTTTTGCAAATATTTTAATTTTTATAATTCATTTTGTGTGTTACTGTAACTTGGAATTAAAATTAAATAATACAATTTTAAATATATGTGAGGGAACACTCATTAAAAAAGATAAAGAAAGAATATTATTAAAATAATATATTCTTTCATATAAATTCTTTCATATAAATAATTGTTGTTCTGTATCTGATAGTGTTGTCCATATGCGTTTGTTTAGTTACACCCAGTATATAAGAATATCGGTAATTTGTAATATTTAATATAAAAATATTATATATTATCTCTTCAGGTGAAGCCTGGATTGTAATTGGATAATTTGCGACTTTAATGATGCGTATTATCGCACAATGATAATTACAAACCCATACAATATATTGCAGCAATGTTGTTGCAATGTTCTGTACTGTATGGATAATTATGTCTAGAATTACTCATTGTGTTGTCTTAGATGTAGTTATGAATTATCATACATAAATTGTCATACCTGCGTATGAAATATGGGGAATAGCACAACAATCGTAAATATATCGACAATGGAAGGATGTTCGATGTTGAAGAGATATTTGTAAAGCGGCATTACATAATTATTGTCAATGTATATACCACAATTCTCGTTCAAAAAAGAAAGCTATATTTGTAACCAGTACAAAAGATAAAAATATTAATATCATTGACAGTGATTCTGTCTTTGAAACGAAATGTAGTTTCATATATACTTTTGACACCAGCTACTTATTGTATCATATTCGATGGTAAAGGATTTGGTAATCTACGGGAAAAGAGAGACTATATCAAATAAATCTTAAACTGTCTTTTAATTTAATTCTGTATCTAAAGTTGAATTATATTAAAAAATCTTAGTTATTTTTGAATAAAATTATTAATTGCTCATTTATCATGATTGCGGCTTAAGTATTACATGCAAGCAGTGTAATCAGATAATTCGATTCCTATATCAATAGCAGATGAAGCTGCACTTAACACTAACACTTTTTTCGACAAACTCATCCGGCTTTCTATACGCGTGATTGTGCAGTATTAAATCTGGAAAACTCGATATGGGGTATAATTGGAATATAAAGATCAAAATAGGGTCTAAAAATGGTTGAAAAAATATTTGTCTAGTGACACAAAGTTATACTCAATAAAACGTGCGAAAATAGTATGTGAACTCGATTTACTTATTACAAATCATAATTATATCAAATTATTAATTTATTTAATAATTTTTTTTCTGTTTTTTTTTTTTAAATATAAAGTGTAGAAGTTGTTTACAATAAATTGTATTTACTTTTTTCTTATTCTTTAAACTTAAACAAAAGTATCAAGCATTTAAAGAAATTTTAAATTATGCTTTTAATTTATACAACTTTTTATTATTAATAAATTTTTTATGAATTATATTTTTTAATTAATTTTTAATTTATAAATTTAATTGGATGCATTAGCGCGCATTGATGCTCATTAAAAGCTATTATATACAAGAGGGAGATAGAGAGAGAGTAGAGATAATTATTTTATATTTAACTAAAATTAATGTAAACTTATTGCTAAAATACTGAATATTAAACTCAGAAACTAACACTGTGATTCTCCTTTAATAAAATCTATAGAACTACAATTTAACTCAGCTCAAAACCTTAAATTCATCGCGTAGCGCGCGCTAGTAGTGTTCTAGTAAATAATATTTAATATAGTTTTTATAAATTGCTAGATATATATAGCATATTTAAATTTTGCAGATTTTTTATAATGTATATTTATGCGAAAAGATTAATCAATATAAAAAGCATGAAATATAAAAAGTGCGTAATTTGCTATCTCTTTCTTTTACATTTTACATTATATAATTCTAGATACATATTTGCTCGATTGTATATGCATATATACACTTATTTTGTTGCATTTAACGCATATGAATGCAAATTTATTTGGCTACATTTAAGCAATAATTAAATCGATCAAAAAATGTCTCAAGTACATTTTCAATACACAGATTATTTATTTATTAATGCTTGAATTTTATATATATAATATGATAAAATTTTAAATAGTTTACATACATTATGTGATATAAACTTTCAATAAACATAAAAATGTAATAAAATTTATAATTCATAATAGAATTTATAGTTCATCTTTCATAAATAAAAAGTCTGGTTTTCGCACGGATCCAATAAATCCTATCTTTCCGTTTGTTTCGATTACGTACATAAACGGACGATCTACGACCAACTCCTGCGGCAGACCTACTGATTTTCTTCCTCTTCTATTGACAACTGTAATTAAAAAATTTTTGTAATGCTTACAGTATTCGCCTAAAGTTTTCTATTATTCATAGATATATATAAGTTACCTTCTGGAATTATCGAATCTTCTTCGTTAATCCTCACAGAAACTTTTTGAACGATATTGCTCACTTTTAGAGGAATTTTTGAAAGATGTGTAAAATCCGCCTTATCCTTAAACATCGTAATTATGCCGTTCTACAAGCAGTGATTAATTTTAATTTCTAGAATTTATCCAAAATTTTTTTTACGTATCAGTTGTAAACAGATTTTGCTAATTACAATATTTACCCAACGAAATAAATGTGTCATATCTTGAGTATATTGAATCGTAAACTTAGGCAAATATAATTCCATAACTTGCTCACATGAGTATGTATCTCTAATTGATTTAAATTCTTTAAAGTTAAACTTTTTATTTAGGTAGTACAGGTTCCCAGGTACCATCTCTTTATTTGGTAAAAATATAAACATTGTAATTTTGTTATTCTGTAAAATTATATTTTGATTTAATATTTAATTTTTGATATCCCGTAAGATTATTTTTTGATTCAATATTTTATTTTTGAAAGTTTTCTTATAAATAATAATTATTTACCAAAAATAGAATTTCAATGACTTTGGTATTCCAATGTGGTATTTCAAAATAACTAAACGTCGACTTTTCAAATTTAATTGTTGGGACAAAATGTGATTCTGATGGAGAAACATGAAATTTGCGTTGTACTATTTCTCCTTTTAAGTTTGGCAATCCGATATTAAGGTACGCAGTGTTTACCAACATAATTTTTGTATCCTTGTCAATATTAACTGTATTTTGTAAAGTATTTTGTTGTTGAAAATGTACTTTGCATAAATTATAATATTTATTTATATTTAATTGTTAGTCAAATAATTAATATAATATACCTGGAGACAATACGTGTAATATTTCATTATTAGTTGTCTTTTGGACCCAGGAATTTATGGTTTCTGCAACTTCTATGTGATCTCTGAAATCTACTTTTGAAATCGAACAATGAAGTATATTTATGCATATTGATGAAAAATCTGCTGTTAAATCAACTGACTTTTGAACGTATATTGCATTTTCTACATGTAATTCGATGTTTTTGATATTCTAAAACATATAATTTACATATAATTTGTATTATAATTTTGTACTATAGTATATTTCTTTAATTCTTTATCGTACATTTAAGAAAGTAAATTCAGATAGGTATTTGTTGTTTAAAGATATTTTATCAGTAATATTCCAAAAAGACATTAATTCATTTCCTGTCAATCCTTTTCCAGCGCCATTTGCAAGTAAGACTGTTAATATTTTTAGACTCATATTACTAAATACTTTGTTTCTTGAATTTGTCAATTGTTTCTGCGGCAAAATATAAATAAAAATTAGGCAACTTGAAAGTTATTTAAGATATAAATACATCTACTACATACTATATATAATGGTTTCTTTAGACTAAATACATCCTTTAATTCTACATATGTTACAATCGCTGTAGATAGATTATTAAATATATTTTTATTAGTCAAGCTGCTGAATGACATATCTTCATAAAACATTGATTCATCAAAGGCACACACAATGTTAGCGATAATGATCGCAAATAACGCTGTAAGGAAAATACGTTTATTATCAAATCAAGAAGGATCAGCTTTTTCAAAGTATACTAATTATTTATGGCTAAGCTATCAAAATTTATATGTACATATATAAATATAAATTATGTATATGACAATATGTATATTATTGTTATCATTATAAGAATCATTTTTTAATAGTGGTGTATTATTACCTGTATACATTGTGACAAAATTCCAATTCTATGATATATGTATAAAAAATATATATCTATGTCGAGTAAATTGAAGGATAAATCATTAAATTTAATATACGTGTTACATTTATGCATATAGCTTTTTTTCTTCCTTTCTTTATTTTTTTTTTTATTGCCAAAAATCAACAATTATTTTAAAAGACTAGCTAAAATACTTTGACAAAGCTTCAAAATTTAGGAATTTAGAACTGGTAAATTATTTGGTTTAATTTTAGTCGAAAATTCTCTTCTTTTAATATCGATTAGGTACTAGCTGCGTTGTATTTGCGCCAACTATTAAAAAAAAGAAACTATTAAAAATAACCGCGGAGAAAGAGCACATTATTTTGGAATAAAATTCAAATTAGTCTCACGTGATTTTATAGACGGTCTGAATTTACTTCAACAACATCGACTTTCAACTGTAGGAAAAATTTTCGTATGAGATCTTCAATAGCATTTTTGTTGCAATGATTAGGAATAATGATACTATCGATGACGGCACACGACTGCTTAATACTGTGTCTATCTATGTCTCTGTAACAGTCGTTAACAGTATTGTTGTTTGCAGTGTCGTGTAGAGGTGATTGGAATTGAAAAAGGAGAAAGAGAGAAACAGATTTGATAAACTCTTTTTTGTTATTCTTTTCGAAACTCACGTTTTACCACATATATGTATCTTAATATATATCTATAATAATCTTTAATTTAAATTTTATTTTAATAAATAGGAGTTTTATTTGTTCTTTATTCAAATGATAAATGTTCTTAAAATTGTTTATAATCTACAAATCATACATATAAATGCTGTAAAGTAGGTTTTTGATTGCTGCATTTGTACAACTTCTAACTTCCGCAATTTTTGAGATATCGGGTTAAATTTTTTTTACATGGATAGAGTATTATTCAAAGATGGTTGGTATTGAATTTGGTGAGAATCGATGAAAAGGTTCATTTTTTATAAAATTTTTAATTTTTTTAGAAATGTCTGTATACATTGTAACTTTCGCAAATTTTGAGATATCAGGTTAAATTTTTTACATGGATAGAGTATTATTCAAAGATGGTTGGTATTGAATTTGGTGAGAATCGATGAAAAGGTTCATTTTTTATAAAATTTTTAATTTTTTTAGAAATGTCTGTATACATTGTAACTTTCGCAAATTTTGAGATATCAGGTTAAATTTTTTTAGATGGATAAAATATTATTAAAGGATAGTTACTACTGAATTTGGTGAGTATCGATGAAAGGGTTTATTTTTTATAAAATTTTGAATTTTTTGAGAAATGTCTGTACACGCTGTAACTTTCGGAAAATTTGAGATATCGGATTAAATTTTTTTACATGAATAGAGTATTATTAAAGGATGTTTGATGTTGAATTTAGTGAGGATCGGTGAAAGAAATTATTTTAATTTTTATTTTGCTCACAAAGCTTTCTCTATGAGGAAGCAAAAATTGAAAAATCCGCATGCTTAAAGCAGCTTAAGCATTGTAAGATAAAATGATGAGGAAGCAATGTGCAAGTTTCTAATTTGCACAACTCTACTTGTTTTTCATATAAAATTATAAATTATTTATTTCGTTTTCTACCTCTCAAAATACATAAAACATGTGAGTTTCAAAAATTTTCGTGAGGTTGCCCCTATATCAAATATTTACATTATCTTTTTTATCATTTTTTGTGTGTTTGTCGTTTTGCTTATTATTTGTATTACGATCTGTGTATTTTTCTCCTGAGGGGTGGTCATTTTAAATTCATCGTTCTGATTTTCCTCATTGTCTCCGGAATATTTTTTTTGTTGAGACACGTTGTGTAATCGTTGCGTTGTCATTTCTATTTCTTTCCTTGTATTTTTCTTTTTTTTTCGGTCTTTTGTTATGTTCTTTACTGCTATTACTGCTTGAGCCTTCATTACTACGTCTATTTCTTTTCTTTTCTTTATTGTTTTGATTATGTTTATTATTTTGTTTATTATTTGCATTATAATCCGGATTTTTCTGTTCTTTACTATTTTTTTATTTATTTTATTCGAACTATTATTTTTGCGTTCTTTTTTGTCGTTCTAGATGGTATACTTGAAGGAGTCCCTGAAATTTTAAAATAATCTCTGTTTATTATTTATTTTTTTGCTAGTGTTTTATTTGCAATTACAACTTTGATTATTTATTTTCATGTAATTTTATCTATAATTATATGAATTTTCTATTTACTTTTATTTAAAAAGTTATTTAATAAAGTATTTCTTTTCAATTTTATATATAATTTCAGCAAACATAAATTTTAAATGTCTTGATCTTATTCTAATGATCTTTTCTAGTAACGTTTATAGTACAATAAGGTAAGATTATAGAAATTTTTATAGTACAAATTTTCTGGAACAGAAGTATCTGTAATATTTCTTTTTGTTTTTAAATTGGCGGTACAAACTGTTCTTGTTGCGCATGTGAAATAAAATTAATTTTTTTAAATTAATTTTCTGAATAATTTTTTCCTAATTTTTAAATATAATGTGCAAACGATATTTATAATAAATTTTATAGTATTTTAGCAGTGAGTTTACATTAATCTTTGCTGAATATAAAATAATGATTTCCACACTCTCTCTCTCTCTCTCTTTTTCTCTCTCTCTCTTCCTCTCTCTTCCTTTCTCTCTCTTTCTTTCTCTCTTGTATATAATAGCTTTTAATGAGCATCGATGCGCAACTAAATTTAGAAATTAAAATATTA